ATAATAATAATAATAATAACTGCTCAGTATGAGCACTATGATGACACTTGTTATGAAAACAAAGAGCCATTGCCAGAATTGTGTACAATATAATAGATGAACAGATAGAAAGAGTTGAATAGAAGAAGAGATAGAAATCTTGAATGATGATAGTATTTAATGATGATGAAATGAAGAAGATGATTGAAGAATGAGAAAAGTTAGTGAATAAGTAATATAATATAGTGAAAGTTTCTTTGTGAGAGTGTACACAGAATGCTAGCTGAATCAGAAATAGGTCACATGATCATGAAATGCTAGTGGCAAGCTAATCTGCATGAAGGTAGGATGTACAACATGGTCACATGAGTGTGACTGAATCTGGTGAGGGAGAATGTGGTTCAGAAGAATGTACAACTGTCAGATAATAACACGGCCGCTTCCGAACTACTAGTGTACGCGTATGAATGTAAAGGAGCCATAGCAGCCGCTAATTAAATTAGTGTACGATATTACAATATATAAGAAGCCGGCGTACGCCTGTAATCGTACGCTGGCTTAAGCAACCTTTGAATCACAATATATACAATAATTGAACACATTTCCTATTCTTTAAACCTGTAAACAAGAATGCGGAAGTCTATACAGACAATTTCAGCACTAAAGTTGAAGATTATGAAACTGTTAGAACTATCATGATAAATGAAGCAGGAAAGCAGTTCAATGTCAAACTCATCAACACAGCTTACATTCCGAATTTTCATACAAATATCATTACATGAAAACTGTGTTTCCATATAGAAGGCATCTATTATAATGAAAAAGACTTCAGATTGTAAAAACACATAGATAATACAATCTTTGCACACATTGAAGTATTTGAGAGGTTGCTAGTTACAGAATATAATAGTGAAACAGCTGTTTTCTCAACTATCTCAGAAAAATCCACTATCAAAGCTGATGCAGTTACTACATCATACACATCTAACATCACTATATCTGAAAAAACAATATCTTCAAATTCTTCAACTTCTACAAATCCTTCTTTCAACCTGTCAATATGCATAAAACCTTCTCAAAAACCTAAGATCTCTATAGCTACTCAATCAACATGGTATAAGAGATTAGAACATTCATCAAAAATTGTCATATAAAAGCTTATAAATGATGCAACTGGTATTCAAATCATCAATCTAGAAGATGCTGTGAATAAGCTTATCACTGAGCTTTGCAAACCCTGCTATCTATCTAATGCAAAAAATCAAATATCTAGATGTTCTCATGTTAAATCTCAAATATCATTCAAATGCCTATATGCGGATATCACACATGACTCTACACAGTGCTATAATAATGAGTGTTATCTCATACATTTCATGTGTGATTATCTACATTTTCATATAGCTATAACAGCTATCTGAAAATCAGAAATCTGAAAAGCTCTTAGACAAGCTATTAATTGAATTAAATGTCAATTCAACTGTACTATAAAGATCATTTGTATCAACAATGATACTGCAATCAAGAAAGTAGATGATTTCATAAATTAAGTGAATAATGAGAATCTAGAGGTGAAGTATTCTTCAGAGTATATTCATGAATAAAATGATGCAGCAAAGTGAGCAGGAGTAATATTAATAACAAAGACAAGAACTCTATAAATAGAATCTCTTCTATCACAATCACTATTCTCTGAGATTGCACTTGCTGTCATCTATCTAGTGAATCAAACCTCAACTAGAATTCTAGATTGAAAGTCATCTCTACAAGTATTGAAAGAATTTCTATAAATCAAATCACACTTCTGTGCTTATCTTTGAATCTACAGATGTCACATCTATGCAAAGATACTAGATGAAGTTCTCAATAGAAATCACTCTCAGAAGCTAGATCTCTGAGTATATATTGAATATCTAGTTGAATATGATTCAACAAACATCTATTGAATTTGAATTTCACACTTAGAATGAGTGATAAGAGCAAGAGATGTGATATTTGATGAGAATAGAAAATTCAACTTAGAAGACTTCTACATTGAAAGACAACTAAGAGATTGAGTATCTAAGAAGGTGAAGCTTCTACATATGAAAGTTCAAGAATCATCAATGACTATTATCAATCAATTGAAAGAGATTATAGATGCAGATATTGATGTTTTTCACTCTGAAGAAAATGCTTAAAGCTCTGAAAAAATAGAGAAGAAAAATAACATTTCAATTCTTTCTACATCAGATTCAATGTCAGAGTCAACAGATCTTGATGTTGATATTAATACTCATTCAGCTGTGATAGATAATAGAATACAGAATATTGCATCTAGAGCTTATAATATTAGTACTGACTTTGATAAAGCAAATATCATTGATGACTGCAGAACCTGAAAATACAGAGCTACTTATCTTATAACAGTTTTAATTGTCAAAGACAATTCTTATTGAATAATCAATGATGCATTCTCTCATTCAAATTCACACACAGACTTCAATAAGTCTCAAAATTTAATTTCTAATACTGTTTTCACAGTTATCAACAATACAGCTACATCAACAGCATTCATATCAACTTCAAGAATTCATAGATCTTAAATGTCAGATTCACTGAATCATTGAGCAGATGTCAAAAAACACTCACATTATAAAGAATTTGAGAATACTGTCAAGTGAGAATGAAATAGTATATCTCTACAGAATACATATGAAATTACTAGCAGATTACAGAGAGATGTTTCAGTTATTCCTCTATAATGAGTATTCATCTATAAATTCAATGATAAAGGTTTTCTTTTGAAATACAAAGCTCACATCTGTGTATATGAAGATCTTCAATCAATCACAGATCTCACTACAAAAGCTCACACTCTAGCTGTTAGAGATCTCTGAATCTTATTAGCTTTAATAACAGCATTTAATCTAGATGTGAAATAGTTAGATGAAATCAATGTCTTCATTAATAGTGATATTAATGAGCTAGTATATATGAAACTATCTGATGAATGATAAAAGTTGAAGAGAATGTAAAATTTGAAGTGTATAAATTATATACTAAAACTTCTATAAGTACTATATGAATTACACAGATTATTTCTTCTCTGATTAAATGAACTATCTTCAACATTGAGAACACTAGGCTTTATCTCAATATCAGAGAATTGATGTCTCTTCTCTAATGATTGATTGATTATCTTCTTCTATATGAATGATATCATCATTCTATCATAATGAGAAAATTTGAAAGAAAGAGATCAACTAATCAAAGATTTTAAAAACACATATAAGATTTGACAGATGAGAGATTTGAAATGATTTCTCAACATGTAAATAATACATGATTATTTCAACTTGAAGCTCTGACTATGCCAGAATATCTATATTGATAAGATAGTTGATACATATCATCTTACACATATCTGTAAGACATATACCTCACTAACTGATGCTTCATTAGAGTCTTTTAACAAGTCAGTGATATCTGCAAAAATTCATTATTATTAATAATATATCAGCTTCTGCATCTACTTAGCAGTGATGACTCACTCTGATATTATATATACAGTGAGTAAACTAGCTACATTCATGACAAATTCATCAGAATATCACTTATCAGAGATGAATAGAATGATATCTTATCTATATAATATGAAGAATCTCACTATTCAATATAATAATAACATTGACAGATCTCTATAACTTGATCTCAAATCTGATATTATTAAAGCTGTTAGTAATATCTTTTTCACAGATAATCTAAATCACTGCTTTATATAAGAATATATCTTCAAACTATTCAGTGAGGCTGTTGATTGAAAATTAAATAGATAGATAATTATAACTACATCTATCATAGAAGCTAAGCTTATTGCTATCTTACAAGCTGACAAGAAGTCTATCTGATAAGATAGGTTCTTTTAATATATTCAATTTAAATCTGATCACAAGATCTGTATTCAATGTAATAACTGTTAAACTGTTGACATTCTTACAAAGAAAGACCTCTCTATAATCACAAAGCTCTGTCATATTGATATATATGAAAGCTGGCTCTGAGAATGTGTTCAATCTGATGATATTACAGTTGATTGAGTGCCTACAGCTCAGATGCCAGTGAATGGCCTTACTAAGACTCTGCCACACCAGAAACATACAGAATTTGTCAAGATGCTAGGCCTAGTTGATATATCAGATATCATCAAGATGTAAGCAGATTAAATAATCTATCTTGATATAATTTCTACAGATTCATCTACACTCTTTTTGTTGCAGCTTTATTTATATCTTCATTTACACTTTCATTTACATGTTACATTCACTGAAGGGGGTGTGTCAGGAAAAAGAAGTTATACACTACTGAATATCATCAACATTGTATTACTGAACATCATCAACATCATATTACTACAATATTTCTCATCATCATCAGCTTACTACAACACTTGTCTAATACTCGCTTATGCTAGCTCTCTTGGCTCACACATATATTTTACTATAAATAGCTCCATCTTTTGTATGAAATAGATATATTAGATAGTGTACGGATAATATAACAAGCAGATCTTGATACAGATAAGATTCATATGTCTTCAACATATTCATCCGTGACACCCAATCCGACAGTTATCCTCCAAGATCATGATTATGTAACAAGGTCAAGTGGCGCACTTAGCGAGGTCAAGTTTTCTGCTCCCTGTAATTTAATCTACATATAAGGAAGGAGCCGGCGTAGTTACGCCTGTAATCTTACGCTGGCTCAAGCAACCTTTGAATCACACTTTGTAAAGGGATTTAAGGCCTTTCTTCTTCGACCGCCATCTACTTCGGCCGCCATCTACATCGACCGCCATCCATTCCGGCCGCCATCTACTTCGACTGCCATCTACTTCGACTGCCATCTACTTCGACTGCCATCTATTTCGACCGCCATCCATTCCGACCGCCATCCACCTCGCCCGCCATCCTCTTCACCAGCTATCCTCTTCGTTCGCTATCCATCTCGGGTGAGAAGGATGGCATGTGGACTGCGAGAAGTAACAAAAGGTAGCAGCTTAGCAATCGCTCCAGAGCAATACCAGAGTTTAATTCCACGTCGACAGATCGCTTGCATGGCTCAGGCACCACCTCGATAGCCAATAGCGTGCGGGCGATGTGACTTGGTGTTAAGACACCCACACATGGGCCAGTTATCAAGTGTGTTTGATCAATAATATTTATTCAAGCTTCGCTACCTTCGCTACCATCAGTTAATTTTTTCTACATTGCAGCAGTGGCGTTCATTGCATGTTAAACCTACCAATAACATCAGGCCACGTCCTGCAGAGAAGTCATTTGCAAACATTGGAGAAAAGCATGTTCTTGCGATCTCTATTAGACAATGAATTGACATGTTGTATTGGACACAGTACTCCGCATCTTTTCAAGCACTAACTTGGACTTACGTTTATTCGAGACCATTATTATCATTCCTGCTGATCTAGTTCACCAACTATGAAAAGGTGTATCCTTGGCTATTTGAGAGCAAGGAGCAAACCTCCCAAGCCCATGCCCCCTCTTACGATGGCGACAGCTGCAGCCGATCGTTCAAAAGTGAACAGGCTCTCGAGCAGCACATCGAAAGCTCCCCAGCCCATGCTGCCTCGTACAATTGCGACAGCTGCAACCGATCGTTCAAAAGTGAACGGGCTCTCGGGCAGCACATCGAAAGCTCCCTAGCCCATGCTTGCTCGTCCATGTATCCAACACACCACGGCGGTGTATCACGCTTGCTGGAAGAAGAGGGACTTTATTTCACCTTCCATGACGTTGACGACTCTGCAGGCTGTAACAGAGAGTACGACACAAACATCAAGGGTTGGTTCATGTGTCGCAACAGAACCTGTGCCTCTCGTAGATGGTCAAGCAAGAGAGTTGCCATCACTATACGAATGTACCCCGGAGCGAAGTACAATGCAAGGGTATATCACCAACGCTGCGAGGGCTGCAACGATCTTAGCCGACCACGCCTAGATGGGTCATATGCGGAAAGAGTCGCATACCGTATCAAAAAATGGTGCGGGATACAGATGGATATGTCTCACTATTCATCTAAAAGCAAAGGTTCTCACATTAGTGACCTATGTGAAGGATGCAGAGATGGCCATTGCAGTGCACTTCAGCTAGAAGGCGATTAGATAGCGTGGCAATGGGGTTTGATCTTGAGCATGGAACATGGGTTTCACAACTGAAAAGGTTCGAAGGGGGACAGGACAGTAATTTGTGATTCCTTCGATTAATACTTGTATACACTAGGTTGGTTTGAATGTGTATAAACCTGTGCCTACAACTAGCCGCAATTAATCGAATCCCGAATACTTTGCTTCTTTACAATTCAGCGGGGCCGCCTTGGCGTCGAAGCTATGCCAAGTTCGGACCCGCTTTGACATGGGGGAACTTTCATCGACATATTCAGATTGTATTATGATTGGCTCTTTTGGGCGGGGAACAGATAAGCCCACCTCTCTCTCTTTCTGCTTGAACGACCGAAAGGCGAACTCATTGAAAGCACCAAATCCAGCTTCATCGTCCCAAGGTATCAGTCTTGAGATTGAGCAGTACCAAAGCAAAAGCGAGAAGCAGATAATTATTGAGCAAGGCATCCTAGCAGGCCAACCCTTTTGCATTCTTAATGCCCAGAAGGCGACCACAACCGTCAACACCGGAGGACTTGCCAGATCCGCCTTCTGATTCTGAAAAGAAAGAATACCATGTTGCGGGAGACAAAGTTTACTTTGTCCTTCGCGGCGGTAGGTATGTGCCTTCGTTGCTCCCTCAGCTTCAGTCCAGGCTAAGTTGTAGTAGATAGTGAATGGCGAACGGGGAGCATCAGCAACAAGACATCCAGCACCCTAATGGCAGTTGTATGTCAAGCAGAAGCCCCTGATTTTATACATAAAACTGAACATATCTAGGTTATCGATGACGAGACAGAGGACGAGGAGAACGTTCGTACGGAATACATCCGCTTGAGGAGGTCATAAAAATGGAAGGTGCAGGATTTTGGGGTTGGTGTTGGAAGATTCAGTGATACATAGCTTGGAGGTCCGCCAGGCTTCGGTCAATCCACTTCCACAAAGTCCTGTCGGCTTTGAATGCGGGGCTTTCCGCTCTGAGTGCTAAGGAGCCTGGCTGGCTGTACCGTGAAGACCATTGTGAAATAAGAGTCAATTTTCTAGCAACAGTCAAATCAACTTGAGACCTCCGATCAAAATGTTTCTTTTCTGCCACCCCGGAGTGATCATCATCTCTCTTCAGCAGCGCATGTATCTTCCCATAAGCATCCCAGGCCTGTCTTGTTTTAAACTCCATCAGAAGTTGACCCCCGGTGCTGTTGACGATTGCCCAGAGTTCATTTAGCAGGGAAAAATCCACGACCGTATCAAAGTTGAGAATACGAGAAAGCAACCACATGGGGCAGCTATGTTGCAGGACTCGGCAGAGGAGAGCTCTTCTCTTCGGATTGACATCTGAAGCGTTGTACACTGCTTCCCGAAAGCCCCGCTGAAATTGCTCTCGAAGTTGTTCCGACAGCTCGTTTCGTGATTGAGGGAGTCCAGGCTCTGTGATGGCCACTGAAAGAGGCACAGACGAACAGAACGCCCAGTCGATAACACATGTAATATTGTATTCCTCATCAACAAAGATATTGTTCACGCTGATGTCCGGGTGGTGCAATGAGTAATGGCACGAGTCCTCCTTGAAGGATGTGTCTCTGACCCATTTTTTCCGCATGTCAGCAAGTAGGTCACTTACGATCATATAATCTGTCCGATTATCGGAACCATCAATTTTGGAATGTAGCGCGACAAAATCATGCCACCGGTCGCGGGAACGCTCGAATTGAGCGTCATCCTCATAATCCTCTGGTAAAGGAAATGGTGCAAAGAAGCAGCGCGGGTTGAGAGGAAGAATGCTGGCATGATCTTGCAGCGCTGAAATCAACGCTCCGTAGAAGTCAATGGTGGAGGTGAAGGGGCCGCGGTTTAGATCAAGTGTGTGCCTCTCGTGCACCAGTAGTCCCCTTGTCAAGCATGTCTTGATCACCGGACCATGTACGCTTTCAAAAAGCGATCCAATCTGGTCGAATTTAAGTTGGCATAACTGCAACGTAATAGATCCAAGCTGGCGGAGAATTTTTGCCTTGCCATTCCAGGACATATGCGTCCAGTGAAGCCGAAGAGGGCATCCAGGTGCTTTGCTCATCAAGATGTAGGGCACCCCTATTTCATTCTCCTTGGAACAACTTTGTCCATCAGTTTTGATAAGCATGAAACCCTGGGTTAGGACATTCGAATCACCTGTATGCAAAGACCTCAGGAACAGCAATCGAACTATGAGATCGGATATATTTGAGCGTGATAGCTTCACTCTCCAGCAGCATAGAGTTTGTTCGAGGGCACGGAATAGCTCCATTCTCGTTTAGTGGTGATCTCAATAGCCACTCCACTCCATCAGTAAAGAGGATGGAGATCGCCCAGTTCAGACTACCATACACTGGAGCTTGAGATGCATCACAGTCACAACTAATTCCGTCGCGAAGGCGGCTGGCGAGGAAACAGAGAGCATCAACATTGAATCTGGCGAAGCGGAATATTTTCGGACGTTGATTAGCTGATGGCATCTTGAGAATCCTGAAGAGTCGGAAAGTAATGGCATTTGCCAGCCGACAAAACCATTTTGACCTCAACCCCGGTTGAAAGATTCTCCGAAATCCCAATACTTCTTATGTGCAGGTGTGACAAAAATTCTCGGCAGTCGTCACCATTCATAGACAAAATGCCAAGGAATCCAAGCTCGCGGCCCAAATTCAAACATCGGAGGGTTGAAAAGATGCCAGCCATTTTATGTTTCTCTACAACGGAAAAGTGCATTTAAATACTGCCGGACCTTCATCCTATTCTCCTGTTACATAACAAAAGCTATAGCGATCATCCAAGCCCTACTTGACCTAGTCCTGAACATGCATCGAGACGAAACAGCGGGTATCCTACCGGATTATTCCTATTGATAACTATGACGAGTGTGTAGAAACCCTGTACTGACTGACCAGCTGCCGACAACGAGAACATGCTGCTGATCTAGCTACATAAAATACATAAGGCTCGATACCTTGCATGATTGGTATCTTATCCGTACACAGAGAAATGGTGAGGGAGATTGGTCTACCAGAGATTGTGCACGATCTGTGAGGGGCCACTCCAGGTCTGTATGGAACCTTCGCGTTTACAATTACCACGTTGACTGCTAGGCTAACTCCACATCGATTGGGAGTTTGGCAATGGATGGCTCCTGCTTACAGTAGCCACGCGAGTACTTGCATGGGTCGCAGGCCGTTCAGGCATCCGGTATTTGGGGGCACGCGTAACGGTGCCATGCGCGACTTCTGCATGGATGAGAAGGGCGGTTAGGGTCTCCAGTCTCACTCGGCAGATCCCACAACCCATTGGCTGGAACTTCTCGAGATGTCGCCTTTGATAATGCTTGGTGAGGTCCCCTGGTGTCTTGAAGGAGTAGACCCGATCTGCAGGCAGAAGGTTAGAATTCTGCAGGCAGAGGAAGCAGATTTTTGATCGCTTCTTGGACCGGCGGGCGGGATCAATGGCGGTCGAAGTGGTGCAGACTTCTCGAACCACTGCACTGATGCGCTCGTTCCATGATGGGGTGCGGATTCCTTCTGGCTCAGCTGGTGTTGATGGCGCGGGGGTTGGTCGAGTCTCGCGGAAACGCCGACGGCAGAGTGGGCCCTCCTAGACCCCACTGTATGCAATGATGGTGTTTACGGCCTTGATCCGGCGCTGCAGCTCCGCTGATGGAGTGGTCGGTGGCAGTGTCAGCACCGCATCACACATGGCCATCAGCTCCACGCTCATTCAGTCCGAACATTCCATTGCGTCCTTCACATCTTCGTCGATCAATTTTCCGGACAGTTGTTGGGCGATGTCCTTCAGCGGCTGTTCTTCTCGGTACCGTTCCAGCATCTCGCGCTTCAGCTGGAGCCTTGCGCGTTGCTTCTCGCTGCGAAGCCGGCGAACTGCCCGGTGATGTTTGTCATCCGTACTCTCATGCTTGTTCAGTTTCTTGCGGTACCTTTCTGCTCCAGGCCGGCCCATCTTGAAGCGTTGCTTGTACCTCTCGCCAGTTCGGCCTCCGAGCCACTTTGCGGAGCGGTCAACATGCTTCTTGAGGCGCGTAACCCGCTTCGACAGAGCGAGGATGCGCGGCTGCTCATTGACTGACTTTGACTGCTCGGGCGTCAGCTTCCAGGGTCGCCGGGGGTCAATGGATTGAATCATCGAGCAGATCCGGTTCAAGAGCGCTTTCCGTGATTCGTCTATACATTGATCTAAAGACGAATCACGGAAGGTTTTCATAACATCAACATTGATATTCCGATCTAGATAGTATTTGAGGTACATATCGATCTTCTGGTGCTGGAGCATCAAGTTCTGGAGAGAATCGCTGACGTCCGCTGCTTGGATATTAGAATATTGAGCGAAAGGAAAGGCAGGGTGAATGGTGATACTCATCACTCTCATTCCACTCCTTCCCAGCAGCGCGACGGAGCGCGTACGGCCCCACAGGATACTCAAAGCCAGTGATCTCGCCGCACTTTTTCATTCGATTCCGCAGCGATGCCGTAGTCGCCTTGATCTCATGCGCGATTCGGACGCCCTCTCCCTCGCGGACCACCTGGCAGAAGAGAAAGTTCTCCGCCAGGTCATCTCGCAGTGGGATCTTCTGCTCATTGAGCTCATCCAGAATGCCCAGATCGTAGAGGTCCTCAGGGCACCGGATGTAAGGGGACTTGAACGCCTTGGCATGGAACAGCAGTCCCAGAAGGAAGACATGGGGGCTGAGCACCAGAGTCGGGTCATAGATGATCTCAGGGAGCCAGAATGTGTTCCTGTGCACGTCAGTCTCCGCACCGCAGGAAGGGGTGGAAGCCGGCCTTACGCATCCTTGTCACCCAGATACGCCTTGGTGAACTCGCCGGTCAGTCCGATGAACAGGGTCGCTAGATTCGAAGCCGGGTCCCTGACTAGCGAGAGCTCCAGGTGTCGATAGCGGAGCTGCGTCAGTGCTTCTGGTCGATGTCCCGTGTATCCCGCAAGTTGACAGAACAAGATCAGCTGGATGCGCTCCCAGCCGACCAGGAAATGCATATCAGTTGTAGTCAGAAGCACGCGGAGGTACTCAGCCAGGTCCTCGACATACATTGTCGCTTTCAGTCTCTTTTCGCGGCTGAGCTTCTTCTCGTCGGCGACAAGGTTGATCACATCCTGCGCCTGTTTCATGATCAGGGGGTCAATATCATTGCCATTGTCCTCCTTGTAGACCTGCGAATACTGCTTCCAGAACGTCTCCAAGGAACTTATGTTTCTGATACCCGACCGCCTCCTCCCGTCCTTACCGCGACGCTGGTCGCACGCCCAGCTGAAGAAGGCTTTGAGAGATTGGATCGAGAGGGTGCGGTACGCGTGGGACACATCTCGGTGCATATATTCGCAGAACCTGTTTTGCCCCGTAGTTAGCAGGTCTGGTCGGAGCATGTTGTGCCTGTACTGCAGCATACTCACCGCTCCCAGTGGTCGCGAGCTCTATCCTTGCCGTAAATGGTCCTGTCCTTATAGAGGCGCTCCCGAAGCTTTGAGGGATCAAGATTGGCTTCCTCCGCCGCATAGTGTTCGGGAGGGGGGAGCTTGTAGTCATCCCACTCCTCATGACTGTCCTCGCTATTGCTGCTGTCATCGCTGGAGGTCTCCCCAGTCACATCTGTGTCGTAATCATCGACGCAGTCTGAAAATAGACCGCCATCATCACTGTAATCTGGATCGGAGTCTGAGACCTCACAGCACACATCCATGGTGGAGCCAGCCATCATCATGGCGAATCAGTGTAGAAGCAGTGCTGGTCCTTTGCTGGAAGAGGGCCGACAGTGCCAGGTGTAGAGCGACGGCAGAGTGAACAGTAATAAGAATATTGTACAGATGACAAGCTGTAGAACAGCGCAACAGAAAATTATGAAGAGACAGCAGAGTTCAGAGCTTGCAAAAAGAATAAAGATGAAAGAGAGTCACCATTCCCCTCCTGCGGAAGAAGGACGGGTGACTGGCGGGTGATTGAGCACCCATTTTGAATCTGCACGAACCAGCGGCCGCCTGCAAGCAGGGCGAGGAACCGAAAATAGACCGCACGAAGTGGAGCGAGAGCAGCGGCAGCATTGGCATCTGGGGCGCTGGGTCGCTGTGCGAGAGATCGAATCCATCTTGAGTCCCGTCAGCGTGGATGGTGGTGGCCTTCGACGCGTCACCACACTCTATAGTGTACTCTCGCGGGTCCATCAAGGTCATCCGCGGGTGAGTCTCAGTGAGCATCTCAAAGGGGGTTTTACCTGTACTAGCATGCTTTGAGTTGTTATACACAAACTTCACAAGTGACAATCAATACACTCAGTCATCCTGATTATAATTGACAAAGCACTGCAGATACTGTTCTAATATACTCATTAGACATTCTGTCTGATCATCTGTCTGCTGATGAAAAGCTGTGCTTAGATCTCATGAGATCTTCAGTATAGTCATCAGATCAGATCAGAACTCTCTTACAAAGATTAATTCTCTGTCTGAGACAATGTTTATAAACAATTCATGTAACTGAATCACATTGTGAATGAAGATATGAGTTAAATTCTTTGACTTTAAGTTCTTACAGATGAGTATAAAGTATGTTATCTTGATAAAACAATCTATCATTATCAGCACACTGTTAAAGAGAATATTATATATATTCTTACTTTCAGAAAGACTTATAAGAGTATTCATTTCTAGCTGTTTTCAAGATTTTTATAAGATGAGTAGAGAAGTAAGTTCTTTATATAATTTAAACTACACTATTTATAAACTCTGATAAATAGTATAAGAATTCACTATCTTCTTTATATACTCTTGTATCTTCAATCAGAAGTATTTTCTTATAAACAACTTATAAGCTCTAGTATTTATAAAATAACTTATTAGAGAAGAGTTATAATATCTTTTAATAAGTTCTATATATAGAAACTTATTTATAGATATATAAATCTAACTCTCTCTTTATAAGAGATTATTTAAGTCTTTTTAATTCTTTATTTCTGTAGAATTAATCTCTGCTGTGAGTAGACTAACTAATAAGACTAGACTGACTATGTAACTAGACTGGCCGCTGAAACCATGAATTTCATGTTTGATTTCATTTAGTCTGGTCTTATACATTTCTTGGCGTGAATCCCACTGGGACTGGCTATCAAAAAAACATGTAAAGTGACTATATATCAGATCTTAAAATGAAATCATGACTTGAAAAAAATGAGAAAGTGATTTCATTTGATTTCATTTAGTCTCATTCTTGGTATAAAGTTACTATTTTTAGACATTTTAAGGTTTTTTTAAGACTATTTTTAATTTTTTAAAAAGTAACACTTTTTGATAACACTCAAATAAGATTTAAAGTCATTTAAAGCAATAAAAATAATTTAAATTGAGAAGTGAAAATCATGATCTCATTTGAAAAATATGATAAGAGTAGACAGTAAGTCTCACTGAGACAGTATGAGACTACTATCTAATGTTAAAACTGTGTAATGAGATCAGTCAAATTGATAATGAGACTATCAAAAAATCTGGTCCTGGTCTCAGACATGGTCACACGGTCAGTCTATATGTAACTATGTCTGAGATCAGAATTAAACTTTACAGTTATTATATTATCTAAAAGTATTACTTCTGATTATAATTTATATTCATCACATTAATTTCAAATTATGTTATTTCAAATATTAAAGATTTCAGATTCACTTTTCAAATAAAAATCTAGTCTTAGATAAAGAATATATTTGAATTTTTAGTTACATTTTCATTCTGATCTTATTAGACTGGCTGATGAAATCATGAATTTCACATTTAATCTCATTTAATCTGGTCTCATACATTTCTTGACATGAGTCTCACCAGAATCAAGTCTTAAAAAAATCTGAAAATGAATCATTTCTGAGAGAAATGATGTGAAAAATGATCAGATTTAATTCAAAAACAGTGAAATAAAAGTAATTTCTCAGAATAAACTGTGAAAGATAATCATTCTTTCAAAATCAGAATAACACTAAGACTGAAGATTAAAATCAGTCTCATTCAGTTCATTCAGTGATTGCTTATATAATTAGAATTTGATAATAATTATTGATAATATTTATGAAATAACTAAATACATTCTTATACAAGTTTATTCTTCACTTTCTTATAAAAACTACACTTCTCTGATATACTGTGATCAGAGGTATTAAACTGTCTGATAATTTCATATTTTATAATTATAAGTTTCTTGATTGTTTCTTCCTGTAATTATCTCTGATAATAATGATAAATATCTTAACTTGAGTTGAACTTTCACTTTATTCTCACCTCTGTCAATGAAATTATCAGAATATTATATATTATCAGTACAACAGTTGAATATATACTCTTAACAATTTTTCATAACTCTAGAATTGATTTGATATGTAAATTCATCAGATTATCTTGAAGATAGCAGTTAAATTCAGTTTTATAAGTATATAGTTTTGCCTGATTTTCAGTTACAATCAATGTATATAAGTTCTGTTTCAAAGTTAGTATTATAGTTCTATATAATATAAAGTATTATTAAAAATTATTACTTACTAGAGAATTATATTTCACTATCTTCACATCTCAAACATCTGCTCATTTAAATCTCTAATAGTTGATATTATAGTAGTCTTAGACTAATTTAATATACAAGTCTCATTTCTTCTCTGTTCAATCTTGAGAAGTGTAGATATTAACTTAATAAGAGAAATCTAGTAGAGCTGCTATAGTATAGTACTCTGTAAAAGATTGTTCAGTTTTACTATAGTAATATATCAGTTTATCTCTTACAGTAATAATAGCCTGCACTATAGTATTATTTCAGACTGAATTTCTTTTTAAGTGATTTAACTGCTTCTTAAAATAAGTAAATAAACTGTTATATACTTATCAGACTGACTGCAGTATTGATGTATGAGTGATTGAGACTGTCTTTATTATCTTATAAAACTGAAACAGTAAATCAATCATATATTTCAACTGAGTTCACTTTATATTAGAAAGTTTCAATATCTGAATCTTTTTCTAATCAGAGTGTTACATTCAATAATTAATTATCTGATATAATTAAAGAGTCTGAATAGTTATTTTATATATTAAACTTCACTGTGTTCTAATATTCTATATCATATTCAGTGATGTGACTGATTTATTTATTTATTAAATATTATAAAATCATTGTTATTATTTAGAGAAGATATAAATTATATTAACAATGTTTTAAATCTGTGATATTTAAATTATTAGTCAATCTATTCAAAATTAACAGTAGTGTTATCAAAAAGTGTTATTAAAAAGCAATATTAAAAAGTATTATTAAAAAATATTATCTTTTGTAAAGTGAATATAAAAGTTACTTAAGTAATCACTTTTATCTATAATCTACTATCTGGTGATAGTGATTAGATTCTACTATATCTTCACTCTCTTTTAGTATGAATATACAACAAAAACAATAAAAAAAGTTTAAAAACTCTTCAAAAATTACATTTATTCAAAACAATATGAATAGAAACTCAAATTGCATTTATTCTTGTCTTCAGATTGCATTTGAATAAAAAGTTGACTTTGTACTTCTTCAAGAATCAAACTTTGATACTGAGTAAAAGTACATCATTTCTTATTCAAGCTATTACTGCTTTCTTTCTGAAAAATCTGAGATAAAATCAAGAGTAGCAATCTATGAGAGAAAAAGATCAAGATATCAATTTAATCTGAGATTTGATATCATATCTGACTCTGACATTCTAGTAGGTGACATTATAGATAAAGATAATGAGTTTAATACTATTCAACTTACAAATATCTATAATGGAAAATCATTGAAAGAAAACAACAATACCTGAACAATTGACAGAGAATTTTTGAATATAACTCTCTTAAAAAACTCTATAATTGCAGAAGACTTCAATGCACATCATCTCTGATGAAACTCAGAGTGCACAAGAGCAGTAAGAGCAGATAAACTGGTTGAATGAACTTTTAAGCATTCAATAGATTTAGTTAACAAGTCTGATCAACAAACATTCTTTAGAAAAGATATGAAACAGAAATCTATTATAGATCTAACTTTCATATCACAAAATCTAATTGAAAAAAGACTTATAAACTGGTTTATTGATTCAAATGAAACCTCAGAATCGGGTCATGAGATCATTCAATTTGATATTGAACTGAGTGAAAAACAAAGAAGTGAAAATCCTCTTCTCTCTAATCAGTATAACTTTGAAAAAGCTGATTGAAAAGCAGTTGAAGAAAGAGTAAAGCAGCTGAAATCTGAAAGGCAGAGTGAGCTCTATTAGAATCAAAGTCAAGATATCTTAAATGAAATACTTGAGACTAGAGTAAAGCTGATTACATCTATTCTTCTAATAAGTATTGAAGAAAATATTTCAAAGAAAAAGTCTTCTGAGTATTTCAAACCTTGATGAAATGAGAATATCACTTCTAAAAGAAAGCAATTAGTCACTGCTAAGAGAGATTGAAAGAATCACTTAATATCTGATGAAGAGTTCAAAGCTATTCAAAATGAATATTTTTCAGATATTAAAAAAGTCAAAACAGATTGCTGAAACAAATTTCTTGAAGAAGTATAAGAAAAAGAAGTTTTCAAAGCCTTCAACTATACTAAAATAATAAGTGTAGCAAAGCTTTCAATCTTAGAATATAAATTTCAGAATGAATTATATACAGCAAACTCTTTTGAGAAAAAATGTCAAGCTTT